TAAAAAAAAAAAAAAAAAAAAAAAAAATCGCAAAATGTTACCAGTATATTTATTACTAAATATAAATTTCTTCTTCATAGTGTAAATTATGTTGAATGTTATATTAAACGTGCGGATCATAACAACACGCGTACGAAGCTGCTACATAAATTTATCATCGCGCTCGCGCGTAATCCTTCGACCAATAAAAGCACAGACGTCCCGCACGATACTAAAAGGAAAACAAAGGACGAGGATATTTGAAAAATATCCGCAGTATCGGGAGGATGGGATGAGAAAAAAAAAAGAGAGAATATTCCGCATCTTACAGTCCGCAATATTCTTGGCGCGTGAGTCGCCGAGCGAAAAGGGGAGCGAAAAGAAAGTTCCCCTCTCGAGAGGAGTCGATGCAAAATTAATGTCGGGCATAAATTCGCGATGCGTCTTTATAAATCAAAACCGCGATCGCGTTAAGAATCCGTACGCGGGGATATATACATGCCGCGTTTTCCACGTTGCGGCCGTGGTACGCACGCGGAATAAACAACGAGATAAACATTACGATGTTGCCGCAGTCCGGGGCTTCATCCGTTATTAATGCCCCACCCCGTGCAGCAGGTATAACGTAGGAGCGCGAATCTATGCGCGAGGCGCGCCGTGTCTTGCGGAGAATTTATGAGGATCAGTTGGATTTACGTTTCGAAAACCGCCCGGAAAGAATTGTAGGGCGACGTATTGCCGCATCGAGATTAATTTTTATTCGACGAGATACGCAGCGGCAAGTACCCTTTCGTATTATCCATAAATAGAGCAACTCTATTTATCCTCCGCATTAAAATTATGCCAAAATGAGAGGTCGCATCTTTCATCTCGATAAAGTTAGCGTTTCTCGTATATCTCTAATATCGTCAATATATCTCGATATATAAAGAAAATTTATATTATATTACGATTAAAATTAATAGGAAATATATTATAAATTAACAATCATATCCCTTAAAACCTTCAACGGTCAGAATTCGATGTCCTAGGTCCTAGAAGATAACGAAACGACATTACAGTCTGAAATTCGGAAGGGTGGAGCGATGCCGCGGGGTTCTCACATATACACAGGACATACATACGTATATGAGCGCATACGCATCTCGCGAGCATACATATTACAATTATAGAGAGTATAGTCGCGCGTGGACGATAGGGCGAGTGTCCTCGGACGGCACACGATCGTCCGAGATAACTATGAATCCTAACAGTTTCGGCTTGCTCGTGACATGTTTGCCGAAGCGTGCGGCACCGACTCCGCAATATCATGCATCAAAGGACAAGCTAAACCATGGTCCATCGTGTCATCCTCAGAGCCGGCGCAAGCCCGCTCGACCGTTATGACGTAGTGCTGAGCGCCGGGCCTCCATGTCACGACTAGTTCGTCTTCTCCGCGTTGCCTCTGCCGCCGTCATCCGTTCGGTAATTGTTCGATGAAGAATTAGCCGGGAATTAGCTGGTTGCGAGTGTCGCCCCGGTACGGATCGCGCACGGGTGTCTCGTGGAGAACGATCGCGATTTACATACAGACTATCATTGATGTCGAAATCACGAGAAATTTTCTTTTAAAGGATATTCCGCAGTGTGTAATAAATTTTACGCAATAATAAATAGTATTTAATAAAATTA